GAGCCTAAGGGTGAGAAAGGAATAGTTCCAATGAATTCGACACTTACGATATTGCCGAGACACTGGTGTCGTAAAAGTGGCGTAGATGGTAATATAGCATTCTTAGGGCCGAGTTTTGTCGATAGATATTGGTCGAGACCGCATATGCTGCACATGCTGATAGCAAGTGCATTAGAGTCTCGGGCGTCTCGCGGCAGGCCTTGCACCTTGTGTCTGGATCCTCTAAACCCATCATGTGATCGCGGTAGACTGAGTTGTTGAAGACACCATTCTGACAACCTATGATGAACCCCTCAGTTTCCGACTTCAGCCCACTCGACCTGAGAAAAGCGAACGTCAGGCGCTTTGATAAGCCAAGGTCTCCAATGTTATGGAAGAAGACCCCATGCATTGGCTTATTCTTGTGTGTCCTCAGAAGTGAGGTAATCTCTGCGGATTTTATCTGAGCTTTTTGCTGAACGGGTTCCAACTCGGTGACAAAATTGTGGTCACCTCGTCCAGAGTCGAAAACTATACCAAGTTCATCAGCTGCTCAGGCAGCTGCCCTAAAAATAAATGCTTCAATTCCTGCTCTATCATGGTCACGGACCATGTAGAGAAGGGGATCCGAACTCCTCACGACTTTACAGGCTGTATCCAGTACCTTTCTGTCATGTAGACATGTCATGTTGTCGGGGAAAATACAACCGTGGAACGAACGATTTGGAATGCAAACTCCTATAGAGATGCATCCTTTTCCAGGTCTTTTCGTCGAGTTGATACAGCTCCTCCCGAGTACACTTCACTACTCCAAACGAGTAGAATAAGATTGGAATGGCAAGCATATTCGTAGCAGCAACTTTGTTCTTCCCCGACAGTTCCGATGACCATATCTGTCGAAGTTTGTAATAATACTTGCCGCGCAGAGAGTTTTTCACTGCTATTACCTCTTGTGAGTGGCGTTGTTCCACCCATTTCTCCGGCATCAAGATGGTGTAGGATGTTTCCATCTACGAGCTGCGCATCCTCTCCGTAGTCTTCGCATCGTTCTCTTTTGAGATGGACCATTACACATTTTTCCATCCCGAATTTCATACCGATAGCATGCGTGTACTCTCAAGGACTGATGGAGATCCTTCTCTCCAGAGGCATAAATTTTGAGATCATCCATATAAAACAAATGGGTGACCTTGTGCCTCCGGTTTCCGGGGGTGCCACAATTATACCCTCGATTATTTCTGAGCGCAACGAATAATGACAATAGTGAGATGCAGAAGAGAAGGGGACTGAGGGAATCACCCTGAAATACACCCCTTCTGAAAGTGACCCACCCTGTTTAGACTATTGCTTGACCAGATGTTATGGTGGAGCGAGTTCGCCAAAGCGGTATCAGTTTGTTCAATGCATCTCACTATTTTGTCGGGTACCGCAAGGCAATATGAGTTCATGCGAAATTGTATCAAATGTCAGCATTTATTATTATTATTATTATACTATACAGAAACCACAGAAATAGTGTATCAATGTTTCACTCATTTAGAATTCATTTTTATATCTTCATAGTAAAAACATAAATCAGCTAGTTCAGACTGACAGAAAAGGCATGACTCGTCGAGCATGAGAAGACCTGAGAGTACTGTAGACATAACTACAACCTACTCTCAGGAAAATGTCTGCGAAAAAAACGTAACTTTTTTTACTTTCCCACCTCAATGCAGTCACCGTTTTTTACACTTCGAAATAACCGCTTTCGGACCCTTCAACGCTCAGTACAGAGTTGAAATGTATAACTCGATAATTTCAAACCCTAGTAAACTGTCACAATTCATAATATTCTAAAGACGCTTTTAATGATGCTTCAAACATGAACAATATTACGTTCGGTCTGAAGAACACCAGAGTATGACCTATTGATGAAAATATTCTCAACGAAGATTTTTTCACCCGCTTCTGTGACAGATCGATCACAGTCTATTCAAGAGCCCACTGGTTTAGCTGAAAATTTAAATGACTCTTCGAATGCAGGGAAATTGGATACTCCAACATTGAAGTGTTACAGATGAGAGTATTAAATTCTAATCTTCAAGTTACTGCAGAACTCATTAAACCATATATTCTGAAGCTCCGCTTCGAAAACCGGCTACCCTGCTATGTAAAGCCAAAACCACAGTTATAACTGACAACCCAGAAAAAGACGAAATGTTCATAGAAGACATGATGTTTTTATTGGAGAAAAATCCCAAAGCTAGCGGAATGAAGAAAATTGAAATTGACAAAATGTTAAAGCGACTCAAAAAAAGGTTTGCGCAAAATCAGATCCAGTACCATCAGTAACGATTCATTGTATGATGTAGCTAGTGATTGTGAGTAATGTAATATTTCTTCAACTGGAAAATTCACTCCAGAATTGAAAAAGGGTAGCCAGATGAAAGTTAAATCATTAATGACAACCTATGTAGTATTTACAAAAAAAATATTCTGAAGATTTGTACTGATGTGGAATTTTCCCGAAATTAGAGCATGAAATTTGTGACATTGGAGGTGTATTCAATTGTTTTTGGACTTTATGTTACTGAGAAAAATGATCATAATCTATGTTGAATATTCTTTTAGATGACGAATGGATCGAAGCACCTACACGGTTCATTGTTACACTTCATAATTAAAAACAAAGTTTGTTAGTGTTTGGTTCGAACCAATTTTGGAAAGTCTGTTGATTGTTCAGTCATTACTTTTATGTAAGTCAATAATTTTCATGAAACTGATATCTTCTGTTTGGAGTCGGTGTTTAATTTCTTTTTATTGTGTCTTCAGAATGGAAACGATAAGCCCAGCATCATTCTCAAATTCTAGTAAATATTTTGATTGAAAATTTTTTGCCAAAAAAATTATCCTATCAAATTTGTCTATTTCTAGTCATGTGTGTCGAAATAACCAATGAAACCATGTCAATGGTTTCATTGGTCAAATAGCAATGTCATGACATAGTTATCACTTATGTCATGACATTGCTAAGCAACCAACACAATGATGTTGTTTGACATTTCAGTGATTCAATTTATTTTGAAAATGTCACTTCCTCGCTTTGGTGTTCAAAATGATGCGGCAATTGACAAAATCATTGAAGAAAATACACCAAAAAATACTGTCAATAGTAAAAAATACCCTTGGAAAATATTTATTGAGTTTTGTGACGCCAGAAAATATGAATTGGATGGAAATCGTACTCTCGAAGAGCTTGCATTAATACTCAAGGATTGGGCGATTAATATGAGAAAAAAGGATAGCACAGAGTTTAAGGAGGCTACTGTTAAAACCGTATGGAATATAACAAGCAAATTATTACAAGAAAAGTATTACAAGGAGTATAATATCATGCTAGACCCCTTTAAAAGTGTTGCATTCAAACAAGCGCGGAATGCACGCGACGCAGCACGAAGAAATTCACAAACAGATCCCACTAAACGCAAAACAAGTTCAGGAACATCATAACCAAATAATCAATAGTATGCGTGGAAACACCTATGCAGTAACCGAGACAAATACAGCAAGATCAACGGAATATCATTATACGAATTGTTCTTTTAATAACTGTGTGTTCAATAAATAATTTTGTTCGAATTGCAAAAAATTTTCTCACCGAATATCCCTCGAACATTGATAAATAACTCATAATTTTATCACAACTTCCTCAAGCACGTTATTTTAGGTAACATCCCTCCGCCTTCGGCGTCGGGATGTTACCAAATAACGTGCTTTCGAAAACTGTGATAAAATTATTTCGTTAGTTATCAATGTCCTTGGGATATTATAGCTGATGATGATATAGCTCTTATTACTAAGATGTTTATTGGCTACCGTCGTTATGACAAAAATAGCATATATAGATAAATTAAATTCAATTACAAGGAACATATTTCGTATATTCAGCGTTTATCCATCTCAGTTTCATCAAACTTTCTGAAATATTATGCATAGTATAAACGAAGTCGATTCGACTGGCATCAAAACTGAATAGTTACCGAGCGTCGGCAGTTTCTTCGTATGGCGTTGGCGAAGTGGTATATCAAACGAGGTCTAATCATTATTTTTATGTGGGAGGTTTTATGTAGTATTCACTAGTATATTCATCAGACCCGATACATTAGCCTTCTGTTTAGTTGTTCTGATTGACTTCGAATGATGAACTTTTTTTTATACTGACCTTTTCATAAATGATTGTGTCCCTTCAATCGGGTTGTCTGTCGATTTCAGCATCAAATTTTTCGTTTATATATATATATAGAGATTTATTGCATTTCT